TGTTATTGAATTCTAAATTATTCAGACCATATTGCATAGTGCAGTACCTATTAAGAATCATACATTTGTATTACTGTACATTGTAGTGTTATGTCATTCCTTAAATAACATATAGTACAGTATAATGCTGAATACTTCATATACTGTACATCTTCATACATACAGTACGTTTGTTTAGGTATTCGATTCTTTATTTTGAACCCTTCTACATAAGTGGCAAATCTCATTTGCTGTTGGTGTGGGTATTGAAAAAGGAAGTACATTGAACATATATCAATTGGAATGTTAGAATTAATTACTTGATATTTCCTTTCTATTTTTATTTCTTTTTTCTTACTTCTTACATTGATTTGGGACACAATCTAAAATTCCATGTCATTGAGAAAAGACCAGCAAATTTACTTAGTTCACCCTAAATGGTGTATACATTTATTTATTCGGTAGAAGGTGTAAAGGTCAGAAAGCTAAGTTTCATGAGTTTTAATTTACTGAATTCCATCCACAGTTGGAACTAACATACCACAGCCATTAGCTCTATACTAAGGACACCATTTATTGTCAGCTTTCATACTATGACATTTCAAGTTTAATGCAGAAGTGACTATTTCATTTAGAACCAAACTTGGATATTTTAAGGCGAGAAATTGATGTTTCCACTAGTGTGCTTGTAAAACCCTTTATAATACAAGTACTATACCGGTATTACGTTTTATAGATGATTGTCATTGGGCTGTAACAACAGGTTTTTCTAGCCACAGATTGTAAGAGGAATGCTAGAGTTGAATACAGTGTTTTGGTGGTTAAGATGCTTGACTTCCAATCCCAGGGTCCTGGGTTCAATTCCTGTCAGTGCTGCAGGATTTTATCTCATGACCAAAACCACTTCACTCACTAAACTCATATTTAGATTTAGTTTGTGTAAAACATCTTGTGTGTGTGTGTTGTAATATATTCGCTATTGAGTCTTTAGTGCATGATTTGTGTGCCTAAATCAATAATATAATAATAATAAAGAGGGACCCACACTAAGGTTTTTAACCTGTTTTTGCAGGCCGCAACAACATTGTTTTCGATATTCAATATTGTTGGTATTTTGTTATCAAAGTTTGTTTATTTTGTTGGAAATGTACAGGTGGTATAATTTAAAACACAAATACTGTATAAAGAGAGCTCTGAACGAAAAGAAACATTCTAGAGTCTAGTCTAATTGTCTCAGTATGATGGATGGTTATTTATTGTCATACTAATTTATCAAATTATACAAATATCTTCTTAATTATTGTCACTTAGCTTTTATTAAATTATAAATTTACATAAAAATTATTATCTTATAAATTTACATTGTTAAATATTTAACAATTCTATAATTCTATTACTTTATCGATTATTAATTTTAATTTGTTTTTCCATTACATTACCCAAAGTATAAAATTATGCATTAATATTTTGATTTTGTTCATGATTGCCTCGTTGTCCTCCCTCTCACCATGTCACCGATTTCTATGAACCTACCTTGCTTTTGTCTTCGATATCCTGTCAAATTTTAGTTCATTGTATTTTTATTATATAAATTAGTTTGTACATGTTGCCTTCTCTGGCTTGCTGTCTCGGTGTACAGCAATTTCTATCTCTAATTTTGGATTTGCAAATAAGACGTTTTGTAAATTGTTGTACAAATGTATTCAGCTATAAACATCTGCTACTTAAGACCTGGAAAAGATGTCGGTGATAAATGTTTTCAAGTCACTGACCAGCTAAATTAATTACTGCTGAGATTAATTGATTGATTAATATTGATTAAATTTTATACTAAAGTTAGAGTTAGCAAAATTCATCATTCAGTATTATCATAATTACAGTAAGAATTAATTTAAGGATTAAATATTCTGTCATGTACTTTTTTATATTGTACATAATTGTACATAAGTTATGATCTAACAGTAGATTGATGAGAGGAGAGCTGACCTTTCACATTGTGTGGGCAGTATCCTAGTGCAGTGATTTAGCATATCCAGGAACATGTGATTTGTAATAATATAAGATATAGCATTCATATCTTCTACTGTATGAATAATGTGTATTGTAAAATTTCAACAAGATGTGATTGTGTAGTAATGTTTTATGAAACCAGCATTTCTTCTAATACTATCTAATGATGTATTACGCTAAAATCATGCTTTAATTCTGATAAGGAAATTAATTGATTGATTGATTGGTTTATAAGTCGATGATTTCTAGATAAGGTGAAAATATACTTGATTGATTCATTCTACAGAAGTTAGACAAAAATTGATTGAATGCTGTTTGTGGTTGTTGTTTATTCGATTCTCTGCTGTAGACCTCAGGTTGGTTGGTGTGGAGTAAGATACTTGCCTTTTAATCCCATTGTCCAGGTTGGAAAGATTTTAAAATTATTCCATATAAATATTAAAGCCATACTATACTATGCATATTAACACATTCTTGAATAATTAATTATGTTTAGTCAATTTTATTTTATTTTATTTTTCTGGCAGAATACAGGCCAGGTCATTGTTGTTTTTTATTACGAGTTTCTATGAAGTCAGACAACCTATTAAAAATTGTCATTAGTAAACTCCTATCAATAATAATTTAATCACTAATGCGAAATAGTAATTTAGCTTATCCATGTAAATTGGTCAGCAAAGAGGTCAACTTATCTCGTAGATGGTAGTTCAACCAGTGGTCAGCAAAGGTCACTTATTTTGTGTGAATATCACTTTATTTTTGCAGGTGTAAAAATAACTTCACCGACTTCTACACAATTTTTCATGATCAATAGGGAATGTTGAATGTTAAAACCTATTTTGCTTTTATTTTAAATTGTTATTTTGAATATATTGTTGTGGATCCGAAACAAGAAGTCAAGATTTTGACTTACAATATTGTAACTGCAGACATAAAATCAACATGTCTAATAATTTACACAGAAGAGAAATTTACCTTAGGTGGCATCATGAATGCTACTCTAGAAGGCTCAGCAGACTCCAACTGTTCAGGTTCCTCATTCCACACTATTTGGAATGGAAGACTGGCTAATGCAGGGGCGCCGCAGCCTAAAGCCATAATATCGGCACTGGTTCGAACAACGGCATGCTCGCCTATGGTTCTGGTGGTGGAACAAGTCTTCTCGGATAAGTGTGCACTTAAAAGAACCCAGTATATCTTTCGAGACGAGTATGGGGTTAACCCGGTGTACTGGTTCGTACAGCCCCTGTTGTGGACAGGCAAAGAGTAGCTGGTACTGATTGACCGGGTAGCTCAAACATGAAGAGACTCCGGGAAGAAACCCTTAGGGGAGATTGCAAGTTACTGTAAGAGCTGGTCCACACCTCATTTTCATTTATTCATTTCATTTATTCATTTATTTCCACACATCATCAAAGAAAACGTATACGGTACATAGTTCATTGAAACAAGTATTGTGTGGGGGGAGAGTCAGATAAACCAAGGTTTTAAGATCGACCCACCCCTTACAAAACAAAGGAAATAAAATACAAAGACAGTTAAAAAATTATACACGATTCTCAAGCGCTTTGAGACTGTTTCGATATAGAGCACTATATAAATGTAACTGCATTGCAGTGCAAGGAAAGAAGGCCCGCGGGTTTTTGCTGCCATACTGGTTAGGTTGTGGGAGCTCAATTTTGGAGATGTTTGTTCCTTTGGAGAAAAGTAGAGGTTGGTACAGTAACCTCCTATTGTTGGTACTTTAGTTGGAGAAGAGCTGGTATTTAGCTTCCTTTCTCCTGCATGGTATTCCAGTTTACTTGCTCTGCAAGTTGATGACCTGTCTGGCCACAGTATTGGGCCTTCTCAAGGCTAGTTATGTTGGCGTATGAGAATCCCACACAGCAAGCATATTTAAGTCTAGTTTGGACTAGGGCATTGTATGCCGCTTCTATTACATTCTTAGAAGTGACTTGTTGAAGCCCAATTACACTATATCGGCCTGCCTTAACTACGATCGACCAGAACGACCATTCCATTCACGCTACGTTAAAGTATTTTAAATTGGCTCAGTTGCACTGGAAATGTTCACACTTCCTCCTTTGCACCAAGTTTTGCTGGAAATTTTATGGTATAGGATGTGAAACTTGACTGCTACAGTATGAGATCGAACTCACCGACCCAGGTTCGGTTTATGTTCAGATATAAAGATGATTCAATATGGGACCTGAGCCGACTTTAAAGTTGGACTAAATTTAGGTCGGCTTTGGGCTGGTTTAAATTCATACTCAAAATGTAATCTATGATTTGAGGATAAACATTATTATTTGAGTGGAGTTGAATAGCTTGGTGTTTAAGATGCTTGCCTTCCAATCCCAGGGTCCTGGGTTCAATTCCTGCCAGTTGCAGGATTTTTTCTCATGACATAAACAACTCCACTCCCTAAATCTCATATTGAGATTTAGTTTGTGTAAAGTATCGTGTGTGTATGTTTGTCTAGTGTAAGGGATTGTCACCTACAAGTAGGACAGTGATATATATTCGCTATTGGCAATCCTTGGCACATGTGTTGTGTGCCTAAAGAAAGAATAATAATAATAATTATATAATTTCTATCATGGTTTATATAATATTCAAACACTATATAACCCAACAATGGTTATCAGGAGCAAATGAAAAAAGACAACCTTTGGGAGGGGTACGATCCCTTCTGACTGTCTTCTCGAATGGTCACACACCTTTTCAAGCTATCTTTAGGGTCATATTTTATGGACCCATATTTTTCTCTCAATTATTAAAATATTTAAACTACTCTACTCCTCCATCTGATAATGAGACTAATTAATAGGCCATCACAGCAAGAGGCAAGTCACTCACTGTTGGATGAGAACAAAAAGAAACATACTACAATCTCACAAAAACAATGGATTAATACAGTAATAAACTAAATTGATGTGACTGTTGGCTGTTCCTTTCATGCAGTATACCAAATGAAAAGTGTTAATTGATTGTTGTTTAATGTCTTACAGGTTGGCAAAGTGTCTATTTGGATAGCTTCTTGAAATGTAGTTTATGCGACGCAATCAGAAGAATCCACAATGAATTGGAAGCTAAGAGAGAAGAGATTCATTCAATATCAACCCATACAACAGAGATAGAGGTGAGTATAGAGAGGAAGGGAGGTTGTAAATTTAAGAGGTGAACTTGCTAATTTAATTTAAAGTACCTAGGATGCCCAGCTTCAAGCATTCTGTGATAAGCGTTAGGTGTATAATAGTCTGCTGTAACCTCAGGTCAAAGAGCAAAGTGGAGTATTAATAGGTAAGTTACAAAAGAAGGTAGCACCCATAATAGCTTGCAATAGGAGACAAGAAGCCATATTTTAGGTGAAAGTTATTACTTCTTGCTTTAGTAGTGTACAGTACAATATCTTCCATTTTATTTCACACTTCTGCGATCTACATCAATAATTTTCATATGAGCAACATTTATAAAAATATATATTTTTTCGCACAAATTTTGTTTGTGCATGCCTTACAGTGCTGCAACTTCTGTTTGATGCTGAGCCAACAAGTTTGAATGCCCAAACAATTATGCCTGGCATAACTTACTTTATGCTTGGCATTAAAACAAGTCTGAATGTAGCCATAAGAAGAATGCGATGGGCAAATAACCAACATTAGTTCCTCCTCTTATTGATATAATTATGAGACAAAATACCGAATAAACTATGACACACAAATAACTAGATACCAGTATATCATGCAAACTATTAATGTTGATTGTAGATTAGATTAATGTCTGTAAAGGTACAGTTCCATGTTTTTGGTTGGAGATGGGAGGAGGAGGATTTAACCAAATCCAGAAATTAGATCAGAAAATGTACGTTTTCTGATCTGATTTCTGGATTTTGTTGATTATAAATGACTCTTGGCAGATCTATGTTCCTTTCTCCCAGGGTAGGTTTAACAGGTGCAAGTTGGCATTATCATGGGTCTGTCATGCAACAACAACTTCTATAGAAAACATAAAAAAAAGATGTGTTTATTTTGCCAGTCTATAAAAGAGGATTGATTTGTTTGGCAATGTTAATATGCAATAGAAAACAATGGTATCAATTCAGGGATCAACATAAGTCAATTTTACAAGTAATATTATATAGCAAGATACAGGTTGACCTAATGTACTGTACTGTATAGTATAGTACTTTATGGCATTTCTAATTGAAAGTCGTTGAATGTGCATTGTTTTGAACTTTCCAGCAGTGGGTGGCGGGAGGGAGGTAGGATTTTCTTTTTTTTACATGGGTCATCTGTCCTTTCGAGCTGATCATTTAGGACTTCTCTTTATGAGGTGTACAGAGTGGACCAAGTGTAAAAAAAAAATCTTGACCTTTTTGTTACCAGAATTCAACCCAGAGTATTTGTCTTTTTTTTCAATCCCAATGTCTTAGCTTCATTTCTTGAACCAAGAACTTCACTGTTCCAAGTTTTTGACATGGTTATGGCTAGCTTCTAAAGAGAGTCCTACTGTAGGTAATCAGCTTTACTACATGCATCCATTAAACATTTATTTAATACCTTTGTTCTGGCAAATATATCTTCTGCTGTTTATTTTATAAGCAATTGTTTATTTGGCTTTTTCCGTATTTTTAAATATTTTGTAATGTAAACATTTTTGGTTCAACTAATTTTGCTATATTTATACTTAATAAATCAAGGGGCAGTAAATCATTTTGCCATTTATTATTACTGTAGTATGGAACTTACTGAATTATTATGCTTCTTTAGGTGAATCTACTAGCCAGGTTAGAGCAAGTAATAGAACTCGCCGTCTGTTGTCTGAGTAAGCAAGATATAAACCCATTTGTGTTATCAGCGCTCAACCTGATCTTGGATCCAAAAACAAGGTGTGTTGACTTTATCATTTATTATTTTTCAAAGGTTCGCTCAAGCCAAGTGATTAATATTTATCTTATCTATATTATTAGCACCTAAATCCAAGGTATTTTCCATATCTCCTTCGAAGTGACGCTACTCACATTCTCACCGATTGACCAGGGTGACCTATAAAATACCACGGGTATGTTCTGCTACATTAAAATGTGTTAGATCTTGATATAGTTTTTTGAGTGGAAATTAGAATGCTGTCGTAAGTCTCCGATCCATAGCAGGTTAAATCTAGTTGATTCAATTTTGAAGTTCTTTTTTATGACGTTAATATTATTAATATGAAGGTGAAGAATTATAATTGTTAAGCATCATTTTTTAGTTTTCTACAATACAGATCCTCCTAATTCTCTGTCCTTTCAAATCCCAGATTCCTTTCTTACTTCCTATGTCATTCAATTCCTGGATCTGTTGGTTTTATGAGCTGCTTGTAAATTAAGTTGGTAAATTCTACAGAGGTTAATGCCTTCCATTTAAAATTCATTGTATACCTTGTCATCTTGTTTCATAGATCGTCATCATTAAATATTCTTGAACAAATAAATGCGCGTACCAATAAACTGACTTCAACTGCTGTCGTCAAGCTCTGATTTGCTACAGTTAATTAATTCAATCGGAGCAGTTTAAAGATTTTGTGCTTTGCTTATTTGTGCAAATTTATTTTTACTTTAGTATTTTGCAGCCTGTCATGTAGACCTATTATCTCAATCATCAGATCGTAAGAAAGGTCGTTTTTTTATGTTTGTTAATCTGTTGTTTTGCAATACCTGAGTACTGAATGTACCATACTACACTTTTTTTTTTATAAAAACACTGAGGCTGAAATTGCTTAAAAATGAAGAACAAAATAAGAACAAATTGAGGCTGAGGTAAAATGTCAAATGAGGTTTTTATTTAGAAAAACCAAAAAATTATATCTGTACCTTATGTGCAGTAGGTGTGACTATGTAATATCCTCTATAATTCAGTACAGTAGATGTACCTACCTGTCATTTAGAGCCATTTTTACCAGGGCCTTTTTTCTGGGGCCAGTTTTCTGGGGCTTTTTTCAGGGGCCATTTTGTCCGGGGCACTTTTACCTCATTCATTCATTCATTCTTTACTTAGCCTTTTATAAAAATCACATTACCAATTTGCACATACAGTAAAATAAAACCAAAAAAAAAAAAAAAAATTTGCACATACAGTAAAATAAAAAAAAAAAAAAAAAATTCACAATACAGAATAAAACTGAAAATCTAAGGAGGCATGGATTAACAAAAGCAATTAAATTCACTGTAGCTCACAAACTAGTTAATCCATCCTTACAGAAACAGCAATTTAAAATTGGAAGATATAATATATAATAAAAATTTATAATACTTAGGAAGAAAACAGAAGACATTGAGAATGAGACTTTATCATTATTGAAAAACGAAAAAATTAAATTTAAAATTTTAAGATTAAAAAGGGGGAAAAAAAAAATACACAAATTTATAAAAAACCCAAAATAAAATCAATATACATAGGCCTACACCATGTATATATAAATAAATACATAAATACACATAAACACACACACACATACATACAGACATATACAGTCGCACTTATACACACATACCCACATATAAATAAATTACTCCAATACAGAGCTGCTGTACAATAATACTTTTGTATGTTTGATTTGAAAAGTGTGTAAAATAAAGAAAAAAAATAAGAACATTTTGAGCCTGAAATTGGCCAAAAAATAAGAACACTGAGCCTGGGCAAAAATTTACTTGTTCTTATAAAAAAAAAAAGTGTACGTAACTTGCTAGTAATTTGCAATGAAATAGAGTTAAATGAACAAGATAAATTCCATATAAATTTCATATTTCATTAAAGTTTAGTAATTTTTAAAGTGTTAATGTTATGAGGCACTGCAATATAAACATGTTTAAATTCATTTGATTTATTGTTACAGTATACTACATTTTCATCAGTTAACATCTGACATTTTATATCATCCTAATTTAAGACCAAATTAAAGACTTGCAGTCGGAAACAAGTATGTGAAGAAAAATCCAATAAAAATATATTTTGATTATAAAATGAGCATGCTCAGTCCAGCGTACAATGAGAGTGAAATTTTATTGATGGAACCAACTTCAGTCTTTCTGTAATTGCTACGGTAATTTAGCTTCCACTAATACTGTAGCTTCCACTACCAATCTGCTGTCTATTATTAATCAAGTATATATTTTAAATATTATGTTGTTGTTGAAGCATGTGATTTAACCTCAGTTATAGGTCATTTGGATACTGACCTTCACAGAGCTACTGTATACTGTAAGCATACAATTTTTCAATATCAAGAGCAGCTCTTGTCAAAAAGAACTTTTATTTTGTTAAGTGCTTATTCAAGGGGGTGCGTATGAGGAACATTTAAGGTAACATTAAAAACCACATTAAATTCACTTTGATAGTAAGTAAATGCTTAAAAAACTGTTGTCCTCCTCCTTAACGTATTGACTTATGCCAGTTGTTTTTGGCTTTCTTTTGAAGGTTAATTTTTCATACCATTATTAATTTTTGTAGAATTAGGAATTTGTGGTAAAAATTTAATCAAAGTGTTCTTGAGTGTTTTGTAAAAAAGACAACATAATGAAATATATTTTCTTTTTATTAAACCAATAATTAATTTAGCTTTGTCGCTGGCTTTGGTGGTTGCTTTCAGCAAAGTGCGCCGTCTTGCTGACATTTGTTGAAAGATTTGTTTTTCTTCCCCCTCCATACCCCCCCCCCCTGGTTCCTTAATGTAGTAAATAAAATTAAATAACAGTTTAAGAAAATATATTATTAGAATTATTGTTATAAAACCGAATTGTATTTGTTGGAAGATTTTTGCTTGCCCCCTGTATACCTAAATGTTAATAGTTTAAGAAAATATTTTATAATAATTTTTAAGCTTGGTGGTCTAGTGGTTAAGACATCAAGCTAGTTACTAGGGGGTTGTGGGTTTGATTTCCACCCGAATCACTTGCATATTTTTATAAAATAAAATAATTTTTTCAAGGTTCAATAAGTTACCAACTTTCATTCATTAAAACAGATCAAAATAATTAAGTTTTAACAGTTTACCTAATGTTTACATTGAAATTTCTTAAATTAAAATGGCATTATTATATATTACATTACTTACAGAATGTATTTCACTGACCCTGAAAAATACTGAGTTAAGTATGGCCTTTAAAAAATCAAAAGTTTTAACAGTTTACCTAATGTTTACATTGAAATTTCTTAAAATATATTGGCAGCATTATATATTACGTTACTTATACAATGTATTTCACTGGCCCTGAAAAATACTGAGTTAATAGCCTTTAAAAAATCAATAGTATTATAAGCAATGTGAATACAAAATCTATAAATATAATAATTCTAATCTTAAAAATACATTATAAATGAGCATTCCTTTTGACGGTTGATGTTGTATTGAAAAACCAGCTTTTGTTACCTCTTAGAATTATTGTTATAAAACCGAATTGTATTTGTTGGAAGATTTTTGCTTGCCCCCTGTATACCTAAATGTTAATAGTTTAAGAAAATATTTTATAATAATTTTTAAGCTTGGTGGTCTAGTGGTTAAGACATCAAGCTAGTTACTAGGGGGTTGTGGGTTTGATTTCCACCCGAATCACTTGCATATTTTTATAAAATAAAATAATTTTTTTAAGGTTCAATTAAGTTACCAACTTTCATTCATTAAAACAGATCAAAATAATTAAGTTTTAACAGTTTACCTAATGTTTACATTGAAATTTCTTAAATTAAAATGGCAGCATTATATATTACATTACTTACAGAATGTATTTCACTGACCCTGAAAAATACTGAGTTAAGTATAGCCTTTAAAAAATCAATAGTATTATAAGCAATGTGAATACAAAATCTATAAATATAATAATTCTAATTTAAAAAATACATTATAAATGAGCATTCCTTTTGACGGTTGATGTTGTATTGAAAAACCAGCTTTTGTTACCTCTGTTGTGTTGTAAAATTGAATAAACTGAAAAATACTAACTTGCGCTAACACACCAAAAGTAATATTGCAATTAATAAAAATACAAAAGTTAAAATCAAAATTAGGCCTATGGTCCAAAATATTATTAATAAAAACCAGGTTTTACAGTCATGTCCAGTATATTCCCAATATTTTTATCACATTACCGTATTTATTCGAATAAGTGCCCCGCTTTGAATAATTTCCCCCTCCAGAGCCTCATTTGGAATTAATGCCACCCTGAGGCGTTTATTTTTCTTAGAATACACGCCCCCAAATGTAATCAAAGCAACTTAATTCTCAGCACATTCATTCTTTAAATGTTCTATTCTACTAGAGTTACATTTTTTCTGGCCTAGTTGGGATCATTTTGTAATTATTTATTATTATTAATTTCAGTAATTATATGTTGTAGTTCCATATTTACAGTGAAATTAGGGGATGTTTATTTGAGTATACGTATCCATATTACAAAAAAAAAAAGAAAACCTCCCTCAAAAAAAAATGCTTCCCTAGAGTAAATGCCTCTTCAAAACCCGTCTCAACAATAAATATGTATATTGTTTTTTAATTAGTTACTGGAAATTTGAAGGTATGTTAACATTGTTACTATTCTTTTCACTTAACCACTCAATGTCTAATTATGAGGCCATTATGATAATTGATTCCATTACACAGTACATGATAACCTCCGTACAAATTCTGAGCAAATACATTGATTTATTACATGGTGGAACGCAATTCAAAAGAGGCCGCAGTACGATAGAATTTATTATTTTTTTAAAACAAAATCAGCTTTGGTTTTGACCCGATCTAACTAAATTGGAACGTAGTAGTACAAATGATGTTTTAGAAATTTAAAGTTGACAGCATATGGTAGTTTCTATCTGTTTGTAGTCTGTCTAATTAGAAATGTAGGTTTCGTTTGTTCATGTTTTAAAATTAATCAATTCTCCAATTTTTTCTTCTGCTATTTTATTTAGTATAAATATTGATTATGGTGGTAATAATACAAATTTGTATTATTATCATATATATATATACCGTATATATATATATATACATATATATATATATATATATATATACATATACAGTGTCAGCGAGAGGTCGCAGGTTCAAATCTTGTTGGAGGCATTTTATTACACAATGACTTTTTATAGGACTTTATTCATTGAAAAGCTGTAGGGTAGCCTACGATGTTCCATCATGTCCTTATTAAACACTGTATATGTACTTTTGATGATATACATTATATTTATTCAACAGTGTTAACAGCTAACTTCCTTCAA